CCTGACTGCCCAGACCTGGGCCCCTGCCACCATCCGCAACTTCTCCTTCTCATTCACCTCCTGCATCCAACTGCTCCCCAAAACCGTGGACTTGGATCTGGAAGCCCAGCTCCCACATCCCAGCCCCACCGTCCAGCCTGCCAGCCACCTCCTCAGTTCAGACCCCCACCTCTCTTTTCTGTGCATTTGCAACATCCTCCTCCGCTGTCTCCTGGCTGGCAGGTTTCCCTGCAGCTTCTTCTCCTCACTGGTCCCCAGACGCGGCTTTCTAATGGGATCTCAGCCACACCTTGGCTTACACGCTGCCACATCTCTCCTCCTTGGACTGCAAGTGCTGTCTCACAGTGCTCCTAGGAAGCCTGGGGGTTCACAAAGCCACCCAAAGTCCTGACTCTCCAAGAGGCATTGGGTGGGGGCAGAAGACCAGTCTGGAGGGAGCTTAACCCCCACCCCAGGTGGCTTCACCACGAGCAGCTCTTGATTAGACCTGTTCCCTATATGCCGCCTGCATGAGAGCTTTATTCGAAGAAAGGGTTCTGCTGCTTACAAAGTAAGCATCTGACACCTACCATGCTGCAGGTCAAGGCCCAAACTCTGTAGCCCACATGGGCAGCCCCGTGCAAGCAGCACTCTGCTGCATTTTCCAGCCTCACCCCCTCCTCTGCTCCCGAGAGACCCCAGCCCCGGCCCCACCGCAACCCCAGCTCTTCTGCAAACAAGCCACACACATTCACACCACCTTGCCTTTGCCCTCCTGTTCCCTCTGCTCAGAGGGCCTTTTCCCAGCTCCCTCAGCCCCACACCCCCAAACCTCTGCTGCCTTCCTCAAGGCCAAAGTCACCTTCTTTTTGAAGTCTTCCCTCACCCTCTGGGCAGAATTAATTGCTCCCTGTTCCCGGCCAGCACAGCACTTCGCGGCTGACCTCTATCACAGCACTGCCACACGACGTTGGGACAATTTGCTCATCTGTCTCTGTAGCAAGACTGTGAGCTCCTGCAGGGCTGAGACCACAGCTCAGATCCATTTTATTTTATTCCCACACAAGGCCAGCACACACACAGGAGTGCACTGAGGTACCCTGAGTTTCTTTCAAGACACCACTTTTCAAACACTCGAAAGGACATTCCCACTTTTCCACCCAGGAATGGCTGTCCTGCCATGGGGGGCACGGGCGCCAGCAGCTTTCCCATGACACGTGTCCTGAGTACTGGGATGTGCTGCAGGCACATGATGCTTGGAGCTGTCAGACCCTGGGGGGCTAAGGCATGAAGCCTGCCTGGACACAAGGGTCATCTGTGATGATGCCAGGGTCCTCGGGGTGGCTAGTGGGCAAAGGGCCCACGGTTCAAGCTCCAGCTCTGTCGGTGCGGGCTGCATCTCCGAGGGGGTAGGCTGCGTGGGGCTGTGGCCAGGCCTCAGGCTCTTCTGCAGGGCTGGAGATGCTCAGAGCTGGGGAGGCTCTCCGAGCCCCTGGGCTCAGTGTGCTCAGTGGGATTTGGAGCAAGACCGTCATCAGTGCCTGGCGGATGAAGCAACAGAATCTGGCCCCAGACTGGGGAGGAGGGCTGGGCAAAGCCCACAAGCAGGGAGAGTCATTGCTGGAAGTGAGAGGGTGCGGGGTCGGGGGTGGCGGGGTCTGGCAAGAGACCCCCCCAGCCTCTGCTGGCAGCCAGCCAGTGCCCATGCGCAGGCAGCTCGGTTAGGTGGAGGAAGCACTATGCTGACCCTCACGCTCCCCCTCCAACTCTGGGGCATGGCCGCCCGAATGCACCCGGGCACCTGGGTGGAGGCCGGGCCCCTCCTACCTGGGCAGTGTCCATCTCATTCAGCATCACCACGGAGGAGCAGTTGTAATCGAACACCAGCCTCCAGAAGTCTGCCACGGTGTTGGGTAGAGGATGCTGGGTGACCACGAAGGCAGCAGGCTGCTTGTGGCTCTGACAAAGGAATGACACAGGCTTCATGAAGGACACACCCAGCAGTGATGTTCTGACGGGGAGGAGGCTTGCATGGCCGCCAGAGGCCCCCGAGCCTGCCGAACAGATTGCACAAGACACCTACCTGTTCTGTCATCTGTGGGTGCCCCCAGTGGCTGAGGGGGCCTTCTCATAACGAACTCATTCTCCTCTAAACTAAGACATTTCATTAGCAAAGTGTCACTTGGCTGGGGATTATCCACATAAATTATTTATGTTGTGGAGCTCAGCAAATAATCATTATTAGAATATGAAATGAAAGATTCTGGATGCAGATTTGCTGCTCTGCTGCCCGAAGCACCTCCTGGGACATTGGGGATATCTGTGTTCCTGTGCCCACAGTGCTGGAGGAGGGGTTGGCTCGGCCCAAGGCAGAGAGCCTCCTGAAGTGGCTTCTGTTGCAGGAGGCTCACTCCCGCTCCAAGGCCAGAACGAGGGCGGAGGTGGCCTGTCAGAAGGCGGACACGGTGTGCTGTGAGGCAATGGGCAGCGGAAGGTGCTCAGGTTTTAGTGTCAGGCAGCCCTGGGGTTCAAATCCAGCTCTCTGACTTGTAGGTTATCAGTCATCCATCCATCCATCCATCCATCCGAGCATCATTTGTAGAGTGCCTCCCCCCCTTTTTTGGTGCTAAGCCCTGGCAAGTTATTTGATCTTTCTAATCTGGAAAATGGGAATCGAAACTCCCATTCTGGGATGGTTGTCATGCAGAGTGAAGGAGATTTGTATTTGAAAAGACCAGGACACACGAACGAGCCGTGAGCCCACTGGCAGGACAGAAACATCCCTGACGTGGTTCTTCATCCTTGGCACTGGCGCCGTGGCTGACACATGAGACCCCCAGTACAGGTCAGGCAAACAAATGAATACACTCAGTTCCATGTTACAGACAGGGAAACTGAGGCCCACAGAAAATAGCTTGTGAGAGTCTGGGCTACGTGGGAAGCTTTGGCGGGGCCCTATTTATTACAGTATCCTGTGAGAAGGTGTTTGGAAAGATTGGAGGGCTTCTCCTTTAGTGGCCCGTGAAACCGGAGATTGTCCACAGCCTATCTTCTCAACAAGCTTTCTTGAGAGACGGGCCCTGTGGCAGCAGGAAGATGGGGAGGAAAGAGGAGCTTGCCCATCCAAACCAGGGGAAGACCCAGGCAAAAGACCCTGCCAACCATATTACATAAATGATTTCTTGATGCCTTGTGACTGTGGATGTCCTGCAGACACCAGGGTCCCGTCTTCCAAGGGCCTTCTCCTGGCCAGTGGAATGGTCACAGGGCGGGGGTGGGGCTGGGGGGGGCAGAATAGTTTCTCCAAAACCCAAACTCCAGCTGCAGATAGCAGGTCTTTGAGCCATTTCTAGACATGGAAAAGAATCTAGTTTTTAGGAGTCAAAAGACAGAATCCGGACCCTGGGCTTCACCCTTTCTGAGCTAGTCAACCAGGAGACAGTCATGCAAATACCCTGAGCCTCAGTATTTCATCCAGAAAGTGGGGACAGTAATACCCAAACACAGAATGAATCAGGATAAGTCTCAGGTCCCGACATGGTGCCCAACACTCAGTGAATGTTAGTTCTCTTTCCTTTCTCTCTGTCTCTGTGATAAATGCTCTATTAGACCAGCATGCCTGACTAAGCCTTATCTGAAAATATGTTCAAGATCCGCGCTCCTGCCGGGTTTCAGGGATCAGCCAGCAATCCATTTCATGGATAACATCATCCTTTACCAGGGGAAACATTAAAAATTAACCCAGAGGACTTCATATTTTTCTGCTAGCAGCAAAGCTGCTATGGTTACCAGATAATGCACAGACTGAACTGGAATACAGATAAGGACTTTTTTCTTTTTGTAAGAAAGGCAAAGGCCCGGTGATGGCTCACTGGAGAAACGCCCTGTGGACAAAGAGAACACAATCAGCACCAGAGCTTGGCAGAAGGCATTTGGCTCCAGGCAGCATCTAACCTACTAAGTCGAGGCCAGAAGCATGTTTGCTCCCTGCATAGATGAGGAAGCCAGGGAGAGGGAGCTGGGACAAGTGGGAGAAAAAGCAATGAGGAACTTGGAAGTGTGATTACACCCCCAGGCCCCATCTCTTGCCCCGCCCCCCCCCCCACACATGTGTACACACACACCTACATGCACACATACACGTACATGCACACATTGATCCTGGAGGGCTCTAAGCTAAAGCCAGAGGTCTCCCCTCCACCTCTAGCTATTTGATCTGACCAGGACAAAGCTCCCTGCTTTGGGACCCATAGGAGGGAGTCCGTGGAGGACTCCCCCTGTGGACAGAGGCCAGGGCAGGCCCCGACAGAGCTGATAGGCATTGAGCTCCCATCACTTCTCTGCCTCCAACACCAAGGGCCCTTGGGGAGAGTTTCAGGAGGATCAGAGGTCAGAGAAGTAGTTGGCTTTGACCCCAAGAGAGGGCACTGCACATTCCTGCCTGTTCTGGGGGAGATGGGAAGTCCACGTGGGCTGGATGGACGTGACCTTGGACATGAGTGGGGAAGGGAATCTGGAAGGGCTTATTTCCGATCAGGCAATGGTATTCTTGGTCCTGAGCCTCGGGAGGCAAGATGTCTGTGTTTTCCTGGATTGCACAAACTGTGGGGAGGCCCACAGAATTAATCTAGAGTGAGTTCTGGGTTCTGGCTGTGCCACTAGCTTTCTGGGGGTGACCTTGAGCAAGTCTCTTCCTCTTTCTGGCCTCAGTTTCCTTTGCTGAAAAGTACAAGGATGAGACCAGATGATCCACGGCTCCTTCCTGCTGCAAACGTCTCTACATCCAGGAGGTGGAGGGATGACCACGGGAAGTAGCTGAAGAACCCAGTGGGGAAGCCTAGGAGTCAGGAGCAAGGACTCACTGGGGCAAGGACATGACCTCCTCATTGGGGTCATGACTCCTAAACCAGGTCAGGGTGGGAGTGCCCTTCTTGGACTTGATGCTGAGAAAGCACGAGACAGTGCCCCTGACGGAATAGTCGGGAACATGGCCTGTCCCCTTCTGTGCCCCCTTTGCCACATCCCATCACTTGTCCAGTAACCACTTACTGATCACCTACTACCTGCCAGTCTCATTCTTGCCTCTGCACAGGGGTTATCTGGGAACCTGCCTGGGAGCTCCCCGAGGGCAGAACCTACGTCTGTACCATCTTGCATTCCCAGAGCTCAGGCCAAGGCCTGGCATATAGAATGTTTCCTGAACTGAACGGAAGGCCGAAAGTCAGCTCTATAGGGAGCAGGAGGGGGGACTGGGCAGGCCTGTGCTGTACCGTCATGGACACACACTTTATGCCTTTGGTCCATTCTTTCCAAGCTTATGGGAGCAAAGAGCCAAGAACACAGCTTGTATATAGGTTTGGGCCAGAGCCTTCAGGGGGAGCAACGGTCCTTGGGGCCAGAAGATGAGAAGCAAGGAGAGGCTGTCTGGGGGTGGTGGTGTGGGGTGTCAGTGCCCTGGGCTCCAGCCATCTCCACCTCAAAGAGACTTCCCAGTGAGTGCCAGCCAGGGCTCAGCTTACGTCCATCAGAGCGGCATTGACGTAGTTGCTGGGTTCCCCATCCACCGAGATAAGGAAGGGCAGGCAGCGGTCTAGAGGCAGGACATCCATGCTCCGGTTCTTATCGTGATTCCGGGGCAGGAGCCCGATGCTGCAGTCCTCGGGCCGGACTCGGGGAGTCACGATGTTGAGGGTCTGTAGGGCGCAAAGACAGATAGGTAGGCACTGCTTAGGCGGTTGCCTCAAACACAGCAGACAGCGAGGTTCAAACTCAGCCTACCCCATCCTATCTCTGTCCTCCAAGCTTGGCCCTCCAGTCCCCGCTTGTTCTTCTCCCTTGTGATATGCTGCCGTCTCCTGTTGGCTGCTCCATGCCCTGGGAGCTGAGAGCTCCTGCTGGGGCTGTGTGACACCCCCATGATGCCAAGGCCGCAGGGCGGCACGCCCACGTGCAGAGCAGAAACAGGCTGCCAACACCTGTCAACCTACTCATCTCTGTAAAGGGTGGGCCAGCCAGGAGGTCAGGGGGTGGGGGTGGGGAATCTCTAATGAGTGTTATGCATCCCTTGAAGTGTCATGGAAGGAGGGAAAGGATTTCCCCAATGCTCCTCTCAGAGAAAGTGGTTTTTGGAACGAGCTGCTCAGGATGGGTGAGAGATCCCCAGGGGGGCAAGATCTAGGCATCTGGAAAATTTCAGGGCTATGTTCTGCAGAGTGAGTCTTGCAAGTGTGGCGCCAGAGCTGAACTGTCCAGCCAGGAGACCAGATGCTCTGTGCACCCAGGAGGGGGCTGTGGCCTCCATCTTTCCCCCATTCTGCACTTGGTCTCCCGTCCCAATCAATAAAGCTTCTGTTTGAGGGAGCATGGGGGATCTGGCCTGGCTGGGGTATCTGCCCATGGAATCATGGGCCGAGCCCTTGCCCCTCAATTCCTGAAACTTCCTTGCTTCCGGCTGCCTGGTTCTCAGCTCCTGTTGCCCAGGGATGACCCTGGCACAGACCTCAGGACAACAGGCTGGATTCTTGGCTTACTCAGTGATATATGTCCAGGCCTCCAGACCAAAGGTGCCACCATTCTGGCCACATGGGCTGCAAGGTGCAGATCTGCCATGCCTGAGCTGAGCTGAGCTCTGGGATGGTGCTTCTCAAAGTTTAATGTGCAGATAAATCATCCGGAGATCTTGTTATACTGCACATTCTTGTTCAGTAGATATGGGTGGGACCCAGGATTCTACAGTCCTGATGAACTCCCAGGTGAAGCTGATGGTGCTGGTCTCCAGACCCCACTTTGAGTAGTGAGGATCTAGGACCAATACACTCTAATTGTACAGAAATGGCAAGAAAACCCGAGTCCCTTTAGGGCCGGCGGAGCACGAGACTCACACCTATGTTTAGAAACTTGTCTCCACCCACAACTAGGACTAGACTAGAACTAAGTTAGTTTAAACACATGATCACAATTAAAAACATGTGTCAGCAGTCACCGAGTGACTGGTTAATAGTTGCTCGTGGCTATGTACCGAATGTTCTGGAACTCGTTCTGCAGCTGCCCAACGCAGCTGACACTGAGAGCACTAGGCTTACCCACTCTCGCAAAGAAAACCCCACGAATGTGCTCAGTGCCACTGAAGTTGGCTGGGTCACCGAGCCCGGGACTTGCCCATACCTGAAATTCGTCTTTGATCTGGCTGGAGTTGGTCTGGGGGTCCAGCCTGCTGATGTTGTAGTAGAGAGAGCGGAACTCGCACACGGGGATGGCTGTGTTGCCGCAGAGGCATGCTTCCAGGATGGCGTCGTGCACGAACACATACTGCTCCTGCCAACCCACGGAGAGGAGAGGAGAGATAGGGTTCTGGGTGAGAAGAAGAGCGGCCTGGGCGTGTGTCGCCCAAACGTAATCCTATGGCGGCGAAGGATGCGCAGGATTTAGATCGAAGAATCACAGCTTCCTCTCCAAAACCCTGAAGGGCCAAGTTTCCCTGTTTCTTCGTGATCGCCTGAGCAAGGGTGAGACTACACTGTAAGACTCAACAGTGTAGTCACTGATGACAGTTAGAAACTTCTGGAACTGCTGCAGCATGGGCTCTTGGTGCCTGCCTCTGTCAGCTTTCACCTCTACCTTGAAGGCTGCTTACTGCAAGCACCTGAGATTCAGGCTGAGGGATTTCTTCTAGTCCCAGGAGCACACTGGGGCTGGGTGCAGGGCGAGCCAGCAGGGCTGAAGAGTCAGCACTCCAGGAAGGAGCCCTCAAGCAGTGTCAGCCGGAGAGCTGGGGCAGAAATACCTAAGCTCCTTCTCTCCCAGGTAGGATATCTGGGAGGGCATGTTCCATACTACCTCAGAGCTCCCAGCACGCTTGGGCTCCAGGTGTCCACAGGGTGAAACAGCTTGCAAAACCCCTTAGCAGTGTCACACAGACTGGCTTTCTTTCCCTCTCTTTGCTTTCCAACCAGTGAGTCTTGGGATCACCTCACCAATAAACCACATGCCCTCAGCTCCTTGTCTCAGGGTCTGCTCCTGAACCCTGGGCCCCCCTGCCACCTGTGTCCTTTGCACCTGCTGTTCTCTTCCCCTGGAATCCCGTGCTCCCTTTGCTATGGCCCCCATTGCTTCATTCCCTCTGGAAAGTCTTCTGCAAATGCACCAGGTGGAAGCTGTTGCTATTGCTCCCAGGCCCTTAACAAACGTTTGTTGAGTGACTGTTCTCTTGCAGAGCTTGGCCCATCTCTACATCAAACACTTATCCAGATGCATCATGATGATCTATCTGAATGTCTGTCTCTGCACCAGACAGCAGGGACCCTGTGTCTAGCGCCAGCCACTGAGCCTGTCTTCTGCAAGCACAAATCTGGGAACAGAGAAAGCAGCCACTCGTCTTTCCTGTAGCCTCACCAAGTCTAGACGTTTGCCTGCGGGAGTTGGCTCAGAGCCCACAGCGGGCTCCCTACGTGCATACGCTTGTAAGCGAGGGGATTCTCTGCGGAGCCGGCAGTGACTGGCCAGGCCCAAAGCCAAAACTTGCCTTTGCAGGACTGATGATGGATGTAGCTCCTTATCTGCCCTAGCTGACTGCCTGGGCACCCACAGGCTTGCCTAGAACCAGACGATGGGCTTGTTATAAGAACAAGCCACGGCTTTGAGGAGTAGGGTAGGCAGAAAAGGCTGCCTAACAAGAGAGTACGGTTCAGGGAAAAGTGCATGGGCCTTGGGGTCACATGGACCCAGGTTCCACCACTGTCCACCTCTGTGAGGACGTAGGGACCCTTTACCTGTAAAATGGGGATACTAGTAGGAGCCACCCCACAGCCTTGTTGTGAGGAGTACAAATAATATCCTGAATATAAAGGACCTAGCGTGATGCCTGGCACATAGTAGGTGCTCAACAATAAAGATGAACTCCTTCCATCTCCCTCGGGTCTTGGGCTCTCTACCTAGATGGAGGGATGCGTGAAGGTCTGCTTTTCCCTCAAGGGCGGGGGCTACGTGTTACCTCTTTTGGAATCCCTAGAACCCAGCCCAAGTACTCAATAATTTTGTTGATGAAGTCATTCCGGCAGGGACTGAAGCAATGCTTGGCACACAGTCTTCTCCTTCCACCAAGGCAGGAATACTATTCAAAGAATCCTTGAAAGTTGCCATTCGGTCCCTGCTTGGATGCCCTCAGAGCCAGGGAACTCACCACCACTCCCCACTGGTGCAAGTGCTTGCCCTGTGGGACCTCAGGGCTGGCAGCAGTGTCCTAGCTTCTACTGTGGTCCCCACTGTAGCAAGCCATGTATTCCCTCCCTCCCTTTCTCCCACTCCAGGTCTCTCTCTATAGGATACCCCCACCCATGGGTGTCTGTTCTACCCTGCTTCTCCTTGGCCACGGCTGCAGCTGGCTGCCCAGCTCAGTCCCCCAGGACTTACCTCTGTCTGCACCAGGTTGACCCTCTGGGCCCGGAGCTCACGCACACAGTTGAATATGTCCACTACCCCTTCGTTCTCGGCCATGTCGAGCATGGTGTCGATGGCGATGAAGCAGCCAGTCCTTCCGGCTCCCGCACTGGAAGAGAGGACAGTGTCTGTGTTAGGGATCTCGGGGAGGGACTAGCCTAGGCGAGGCTCCCCGCCCCCACAACCACTCAGCCCTGTCCCAAGGACCCTGCAAAGAGGCAGCAGGCTGCAGAGGTCACAACAGTCTGAATCCTAGTGCTGCTGGGAGACTCTGAGCAAGCAAGTGAACTTGGAGCCTCAGCTTTCTCTTCTGTAAAATGGGAGAGCAATGCTTGCACTGGGGGCTCTTTTAGCAGAACCTGCTTACTTTTATTGTCCTCATTTAGCAAGGATTCACTTAATGCTTACAAAGTACCAGACATTGTTCTAAGTGCTTTTACAAACATTACCTATTGACTCCCTTGCGAGGTGGTTGGGAAGTTTCTCACCCCATTTTACAGGTGAGAAAAGCGAGACCCCGGGGTCTAGGAGGGAGCACAAACAGCCACTCATTGGCGTCTTCCTGAAGTCTCCTCCTCCATCTGTGTTAGGGGAAACAAGCATCCTGACCTGGTTTTGAATCTTGGATCCACCATGGGTGAACAACCTGCCTGGTGCCCATAAACCTCACACATATAACCTGCCCCCCTGCCGGGTTCTCTTGAGGACTTGAGCTCTATTTCAGCCTCACATAACAACTGAGCTTATCATACTTGGGGTCAGACCCATGGAACCCAATCCCGGCTTAACCACTTACTAGCTGTGTGACCTTGGGTAAACGACTTAACCTTTCTGGGTTTCAGTAACCGCAACCATGAAATGAGGCTGATGATAATAAATAGACCCACCCTGTAGCATTGCGAGCACAATACATGTACATTGCACGAAATGATGCTGAAAGAGCCCAGTGCATGTAAATTACCTAGCCCTATGCCTAGCTGTGTTGCAATTTCTCAGTAAATTGTAGCTACTTATATTCAACAAGTATTTATTGAGCACCCAGTATGCACTAGATGCTGGGATTGGGAGTGGGGATATGAAGATAAGCAGACATGGTTTCTGCTCTGAAGAACTAACAGTCTAGGGAGTGGACCAGTATTAGAGGCAGAGAACAGTAGCGTTTTTAAGTGTTTATTAGATGTCAGGACTTCTCCTAGGCGCCGAGTATATGGCAGCCAGCACATTTCATCTTCAGAATGGTCCCAGGAGTGGGGACCACTGTGCCAGGCGTGTTAGGCGGACTGGCTCTGGAGGAAAGACATAGAGCCATCGTGCAAAGAGAGCCTAATAAATCGTCCCCCTTCCTCCCTTACTCCAGAGCAGAGGAAGGGAGACAATTTATCTGGCTGCTCTCTGGGACACAGGACTTGGGGGCTAACGTTCTACTGTCCTTGAACTGTCATGAGTTATAAAGCAGAGGATATATGCAAAATGCTTAGAGAGTCCAGGGCTGATGGCGACTATTACCTCCCAACCCTCAGTGACCTCCTCTGTGAAATGGGGTCTCTAATTCCCACCTGCTCCCGTGGGGAGGGTAAATGGATGCCGAGTGACAAGGGGCTGGCCCTGAGATGCCTGCAGTTTGTGGAGTCCCTCCTTGGCTTCACTCAAGACCTTGACTGACATGGACACCACCAGGGCAGGCATAAGTCAAGAACACACAGGGTCTGAAAAGCTGGGCTCGGCCCAAGGTCACACTGAAAGAGGGAGGCAGGAGTGTGTGGGCCAGCTAGCCTTCAGGTCTGGTCCAATTCTTAATGCCCTTGACACGACACTTCATCTCCGTTTAGGAGGATTGGAAGATGTGCCAGTCATTCCCCATGTGACTTTCTAGGTCAGAGCTGAAAATACCTCTTCTCCATAATAAGGTGAAGCCTGGCGCTGTCCATTTACTCTCGGTTAAGGACCCTGCAGGCCAGCAATTGAGTTTTAAAATAACAGAACTGAAGAGCAGCACACTTCCACGGAGGTGCCCTGCTGCCATGGCAAGCGGCCGAGGGAAAGCGACTGGAGAAAAGCCTGTCAACTCCCAGCGCTGCTGGCTTACACCTGCGTGACCCGAGCAAAGGGCCCACCTTCTCAGCACCTCAATGTTCTCATCTGTAGAATGGGAAGGATGCTAACGCCCACCCCTCCAGGCTGCATGAGGAGTGTGCCAAGTGCACACGTAACAGACGCCGCCAGTGTGAGCCCACGTCCCCAGGGGGCTTTACTATTTCAGGGCAATAGTAATGATACCCACTGGTACTGCTGCTATTACTTTGCTGTTGCTGTCCCAAGCAGACCTTGGGACCTGGGCTGAACTTGGGGACAGGCAGGGCAGTCCTGAAGGCAAAGAAGAAAGGCCACTGGAAGGGCTGTGTCTCCCTCCCTGAGAGCAGCCCTGCAGAAGCAGCCTTGTTTGGAGCTGGAGGCCGTCGCTTACCTGCAGTGGACCACGATGGGCCCGGCCTCGGGGGGGTTCAGGAACTTGACCTGGCGCACGAAGCCCAGGAGGCCAGTGGCATAGCAGGGGACGCCGTGGTCGGGCCAGCTGGTGAAGTGGAACAGGCGGAGCTCCCGGATCTCGTGGTAGCCTTTCTGAGGAGAGAAAGGGCCTCTGTTCCTCCAGCTGTCACCCCCACATGCCCGCCCAGCACCCACAGGGGGCACGGCTGCCGCACGGAGGAACCAGCCTCCCTGCCGTCAGGGAGGACAGGACCCTGCCAGGATGAGCAAGGGCTGCCACACCGGGTGACTCCTGTGATCCGTTGTGTCTGGGAGCCGTGGAAGTAGGTAATGTAGAGGTAGTATGGCTTTGCTGCAGGACTTCTCAGAGCCTTCAGTGGGCTCAGGCACACTCTCCATCCCCAAGGGGGCATTATAACACACCCACAGTGTTTGTCCTTTTGACAAGGGTGTCATAGGACTTCTATTCAGCAGAACAGACTCAGAGAAAGGTTGGTCTTAAACACCAAGTTCAAGTCATTTCCAGTGGAACACAAGGCCTTTCAGTGACTGGGGTCTGCTTCCCTCACTGTCTCCATGGCTTTCAAATTTTAAAAAAAAGTGTCCGACTCCTCTGTTAGATTCTTATTTAGAATTGTAAGACAGGAAACAAACAAAAGCAGAGCTTCTCTGACTGATGGGGGCAGTGGGGCCTGGGGCTCCAGTCCTACCACTCCTCACTGACACCTTGCAGGCGAAGGGCACTTCTCTGCCCAGTCTGTAGTCAGGTGTCACCTCGGAGCCCATGCTTATGTGGTGCGCCTACCCACTTTCTCCTACCTTGCAATCTCCTGCAGATATGCAGAGAGCACCAAGTAGGAAGAGTGTTTGATCATTCTTTCAGTTAAGGAAGAGTCACCGAGGGTTATCTGTGCCAAGCCTTGTGCTAGGCACTGTGAAGGCAGAAACAAAAGCCACAGTCCCTGTCCCTGGAGCAGCTCATGGTCTAGCTGGAGAGGCAGAACTCCTAAGTGGATAATCCTATTAAAGTGCTTAAAGAAGCGTCAGGTAACCCCACCTGGGGAAGGAGAAATCAGAGAAGGCTTCCTGGAGGAGGTGATGCATGACCTGAGTCTTGAAATACATTAAGAGTGAAAATAACAGCTAACATTTATTGAGCACACACTGCATGCCTGTTACTCTTCTGAACATTTCAGTGTATTAACTCATTTAATCCTCCTACCAGTCCTTATGTTATCTCTGTTTTACGGATGAGGACATTGAGGCTAAGCCAGGTTAAGGAACACAATCAGGTCACACAACTCATGAGCTGTAACCCAGTCTGGACCCTGGCTGTCGGCCTCCACAGTCTGCACTCCTAGTCACTATGAGACACTGAGGCCTGAGTGTTGCCCAGTGGAAGAGATGGCAGGACTCATAGGCCAAGAGGCAGCCCAGGCCACAGCATGGGGACAGGACTTAGCACGGCACGTGCACAGAATCACAAACAGGGCACCCCCAGGAGGGACTGGGGGAATGCTGGCTGCTAGAAGGCCTCGCATCTCACACCGGGTCTTGCTGGGGAGCTCTGGGGAGGTTGCCCAGAAGGGGAAGGGCATCATCACACTTGTATTTTGGGAGGACTGTGTTGGCTGCTATGTGCAGCCTGGAGTTGAGTGGGTATGTTGGGGGGCAGTGCAGAAGGCCCTGATGGTGCCCTTCTAGATCCCCTTTCCTGGGCCAGGGTCCCCATCCCCAGCTCCTGGGTCTTGGCTGCAGACACCCACAGCTCCCCCCTTCTTCAGAGAATTGCTCAGCCGCCAGGAGCCGCTTCCCCTGGGGGTGGGGGTGGGTAGCTGGCATTCAGGGGCTGACAGGACAGCAGGGTGACCAGCTGACTTGGTGAGTCTGTGCAGGACTGAGGGGTTTCCTGGGACATGGGACTTTTGGTGCTAAAGCCAGGATGGCCCTGGGCAAACCAGGACGTTGCGTGATCCTAATGGAGGAACAGAGGACTCCTTTGCCTCGAGACAGGATCAGCTGTGTGGTGGAGTTCATGACCCAGAGCTCCCATGGGATCCAGCTGGCTTTGGTCTCCAGCTGGGAGCACGCCCTCGCTTGGCTCCTTCTGCTGCCCTGTCCCACCTCCCTCTCTTCCTCCCCTTCTCAGAGCTCCTCCTCCAGCTTCAGCAAGCGCACCCAAAGCCCTGCCTCAGGGTCGGCTTCCCAGAAACCCAAACCGAGATGGGGTGAGACCAGAGGCAGAGAGCCCCATAGGAAGCTGGGGCAGGAGTCCGGGTGGGAGTGAACAAAGGCCCAGATGAAGGACCTCATGGACGAGCTGAAATAGCAGAAGAGGAAACAGCTTCAGGAACACTCAGTTTTTCATTCCATTCTCCAGGTCAGCTCAGCCCCGGGAAGCCCTTGTTTGAGCCCTCACCACCTCCACTGCGGTCATGGATCAGGGGTCCTCCCTCCCTGATGGGACTGTGCTCTCTTCGAGGGCGGACACCACTTTCTGCTTATTGTTTCTGGATCCCCAGCTCAGGAACCGATTTTGAGCTAATGACCTGGGCAGTGTTTGCCGAGCGCCTGCCTGCAGTTCTCTAAGGCCTCCCTGCTCAGGTGTGGGGCCCAGGATGGGTCCCCACGTCGCCACTACTCATCTCACTCCCTGGACTAACTGCATACATGCCAGACGGGATGGGGGCCCTACCAGGTCCTCTTCTGTGGCCTCTGTCCCTGGGCCTCAGCTGTAGGAGTGCTGGCTGCTAGTGACTCCCCTTTTCTGGAGAGGTGCCCTCAGCTGACAGGACCCAACTTGGGCCGGAGGTGCCCTCTCAGTGGCTGGTCCACAGTCAGTGAGCTGATCGAGGCAAGGGGGCCAAGTCTGTGGTGCAGGTCCTGCTCTGGTAGCCCCCATGGATCAGGCCTAGGTTAGACTCTGCTGAAGACTCTGTCCTTGCTCAGGTCCCTCCCCTTCTCTCTCCTGTTTCCCTCCCTCTCCTATAAGTTTCTCTTGAGAGTGGTCCCTGGATACACCATATGCACCCAAATCCTCGTCTCAGGCTCTGCTTCTAAGGAACCCAACCTAAGGCCGTGTCGATGTACCTGTTGTCATGGAGAAGTGCCCTTCTCTCCTGGCTCTTCACCTGAGTCTGCAGATGCAGGCCTTTAGGAGCACCTGGCTTGGAGAGGGGGCTACCAGGAGCAGTGTGCCCCATATCAACCTTGCAGCTGGGCAACTCTGGACAACTGACACACGTGCTCGGTGCCTAATTTTCTTACCCTGTAAGATGGGAGTAATAATAGTACCTCCCTCAAGAGGTTGTTGGATTGAGTGAGTTCATGTATGCAATGAAAAGCACCTGCTTTAGTAATTGCTCAATAAATGTTAGCTATCATTATAATAGGAATTAAATGATAAATCTAATTTGCAATCTCGTTCCTGCTCATCAAGCCCCTGCCGGCCTCCTTTCAATGCCTAGACCAGCACTTCTCAATCCTGACATCATGGACATTTTGGGCTAGATAATCCTTTGTTGTTGGGGCCTGGGGTGTCCTGTGCATTGCGGGGTGTTCATTAGCATTCCTGGCCTCCATCCACAGATGCCAGCAGCACCCTCCATCCTCAAGTTTGGTAACTAAAAATGTCCCTAGACATCGCCAAACTTTCCCTGTGGGACAAAATCACCACCAGCTGAGAACCACAGGCCTAGAACATGTTGCAATCTTCTTTCCCCGTGACTCTGCATACTTCTTTCTTTCTGCCTGGCATAGGGTTCCTCCCGCTCTTCCCTCAGCTGGCTCCTTCTCATCCATCACTGTCTGCCTAAATGCCTCTTCCTCCAGGAAGCCTTCTCTGACCACCTCATCTTGCTGTCTGCACTCGTGGCAGGTTTCTTCCATGGCTTTTATCACCATGTGGCATCAGTCCATTTATTTGTCTGTTGAATTGTTTGTCCCTCCCGCTAGAGGGGGTAGGGAATCCTCTGGGGCAGGATCCACATCCAACTTGACTGCTGATCTGTCCCTGGAGCCAGGCACAGGGTGGGCACAGAGCAGACCCTTGCTCAGCGAGTGCACTGAATGAACGAACAGCTGGCTTGCCCAGGGCACAGGCTGCCTGCAGCCATGGGGAAGCTTACCTTCTGGACGGTGAAGGTGCGTATGACGTACTCTGCCAGGGGCTCTGTCTCAATCAGGCTGACTTTAATGTCCCCGTAGACCTCCGTGTCATCCGGCCAGTATCGCACACACTTCACCTGTGAGGAAGGGCAGAGACAAGGACGGATGAGTGCGTGGCCGAGCGTGAGCAGCCGCCTCGTCCGGCCTTCCTGCTCCGATATACCCGAGGGCGATTTGGGTGGAATTTCGGTCCAAGGGGTTGTCAGCTGGCTGGGGACTGGCCAACTGCACAGGGCCACGCCCACTCCCAAAGGCCCTGGAGCCGTTAGGAATAATGGTAGTACCTTCTTTGGCAGAGCTCCTTAAAATCTCCAAGTCCATTATCATACTAGGTGAGCGAATCAATCAAGGTGAGATAGGCAGCTGGTGTTACCCCATTTACAGATGGAAACAAAGCTCGAGTTTGGAGGTCAGATACCTGGTCCCAGGTCACGGGGCCAGTTTTCTACCTCTGGCTGAGCCCTTTTTCTGCTAGATCAGGTGGGGCAGTGGGGCGGCGTCAGCGGAGCAGAGATGAGAATAAAAGTGGGAAGCAGTGAGGGGGTGGAAGCAGAGGGGTTGGGGAGAGGGCCATTACTATCCAGAGGTGGTGACTGGGGGCTGGAAGGAGAAAGGCTCTCGGTTGGGAGAAGGATGCAAGGAGCGGGACTAAAAGGGAAGAGTCTGCACAACGGCTCTCTGCCCGGGCGGTGGGTGCAGATGCTGGTGACAAGCCAGTCCCACACTGGACTCTAGGTCACATTCCGAGGGAGGAAAAAGAGATCATCGTTTTCCCCTAAAAAGAACAAAAGCATTACCATTCCGGGGGACGCCGCGCGGGCTAGAGTGGCATTTCCCACAGTGTGTTCCGCTGGGTGCTAATAGGTGTTAGGTAAAAAAAAAAAACAAGAAACAAAAAAAACAAACAAACAAAAAGGTTTTGTGGTCAAATGAGTTTGGGAAATGCTGGATTAAACAAAGTTAAACAGGCCGCTCTGCTACAAGACTCCTCAGCTCGTTGAACGTGCTAACGCTAATGTGTTTTCGACTCTCCGAGAGGGGCAAAAAGGACACAGCATTTCCCAAACGTATTTAACCATGGAACCCTCTTCTCACTAGGCATCCTGCAGACTAGCATCCCATGGAACCCACTTAGGGAAACGCTGGTATAGCACAACAGGCTTGGCAGGCAAGCGGATGCATTGCTTGGTTCTAACGCTCAGCAGCTGTGAAGCTTCCAAAAAGTGCTGAAATCTCTCTGAGGCTCAACTTCCTATTAATACGGATAGCTAACGCTCACTGACAGCTTACGGTATCTCACACTGCTTGCTAAGTGTTCTAATTCCTTACCTGTATTATTTTAATCGCTTATCACTACAACCTTTACAGATATGATTATCACCCCGTTTTATGGATGAGGAATCAGAAGCATTGAGAGGCTAAGAAAATTGTCCAAGGTCACAAAGGGATGGAGCCAGGATGCAAAGCCAGGCCACCCAAATAATTACCATAAACACTGCCTCGTGCAGTTGTTGGAATCAAAATGAAGTAATGCACAGGGAGCGTCAGGCACGGTGTTTGGCTCCTAGCAGGAGTTCCGTCAAGAGACTGCTCCCCTGTTCCCTCCCCAAATCCAAATTAGATTCATGAACTGTCCATCGAGGGACTCTGTCTCCAAGATGGGATATGTTATAGAACGGGCTGGAATTTGCCTCTGAATTCTTAAATCCTAGCCTGGCCTTTTTGTCCACAGTAGCTGCTCCCTGGGCCTGGGTCCTTGGGGAGCAGTTGTGAGTGGAGGGGCCACGACACTAGCATGAGAGTTAAGAGTCAGAGATCGTGGCCAGGCTCTGGCTGGAGGACTAAGGGGTAGACGCTCCAGCCCCTCGGGGTCTGTTTCCTCATCTGTAAAGCTGGGGAGGGGATGAGGTGAGAGTGAGCTCAAGGATAAAGTCTCTCTTGGCCCTAGAACCCTGTGAGGCCACGAGATGTCCACAGCCCTTTCCTGGATTATGATGACAGCCCAGATTCTCTCTTCCCCATGATCTTGGAGGCCAGGACTCTTTATTTTAATGGGTTATCTGGTTCTTTGCCAAAACAAAAACTTACCTGCCCACTCTTCGGTTAGTTCCTATGGTAAGTAGAGAAGCCCTCTTCCTTCTAGTGTTGTGCACCCTGCCTTTCAACCCAGCAGCCCACCCACCCACATGCCACAGTTTACCAAGTGAGCAAAAGCAAGCTGGGCATAGCAGTCCCATTTCCAAGCCCTAGGAGTAGCTAAGGACGACGTAGGAGAGAGTCGAGATAGAGCAGAGCAGGAGACCAAGGCCTGAACCCTGAGGAATATCAAGGTTTAGAGGTAAGGGAGCAAAGGGTCAGATGCTCTGAGAGGCTGAGTTCGATGAGAAGAAAGAAGTGGCGGTTGGATTCATCAGCATGAAGGATGCTGGTGATACTGACTGTCTCACTATGGGTGGGATGGAGAGGGGAGAAGAGAACTGGAGTGCAGAAACAGAGCCTGTGTGTGAGTCTTTAGAGTCTGGCAGAAAAGTAAGGACAAGAGAATCCTTTTTGTTTGCCTGTTTTGTATTTTCAGGGGGAAGGTACTCAGGATGTTCCGTATGTTCAGGGGAATAATCTAGCAATGAGAAAAAGAGTTTCGAGTGAGAGGGAAAATGAGACAATTCTTGCATAGAATCTGTGATACAAGGCACTGGGATTGCCTTTGAAAGGGCAAGAGTCACTTCTTCCATAGAAACAGCAGATAGTCTACCATTTGGGTCAACAAAAACGGCCATGTTTTATGGTTCACCCTGATAATAGAGGGGAAGAATGAGAAGATGGTTGTAGATGCAAGTAGGATTGTGGCTTTGTGGTGTGAAGATGAGCGTTCATGTCTGATGGCTTTCATTTCCCCAAAGGGTATGAGATGACGTCATCAACGGAGCGAGGGTGGAGAAAGGGATGACTCGGAGGGAAAGGCCGCATTCCCCGAATGGGAAGCAGTGGTGAGGATTTATCCCACGCAGGTTGTTGTGAGGGTGAAGTGTTGAGTGGGGGCACATGCCATAAGGCACAGAACAGAGAGATGCTCAGGAGGGCAGGGCCAGCAACCTCTGTCCAGGTAATTGCGGGAGGGGCTTACCCTGCCCACTTCCACGAGGTTCGTGACCATGACGATGCTGGCCGAGTTCTCCTGCCAGATCATTCTCCAAAAGTCCTTGACAGTCTCCTGCATCGGACCTGCCGACAGAGAAGGTGACAGGGTCAAAGACCACAAGTGCAAGAAGGCAGCCAAGAGGCCACCCCTCCTGGTTGGTCGGTCCAGGCTCAGAACAGGTGAGCGAGAGTGAGGCCAGATGATTCTCGCTGGGACACCTGAGTCACTGAGACCAGGGCCAGAGTATGGAAAAGCAAAGCGGCATTCCAAACTAGCATGGTCTACAGCATCCATGGAAATGTCCACACCCTTTCCTCTTCCCTCTGCTGTCCTCCTGCTCAGAGGCTGTCCCCCAGCCCCACTTGCCCCCCATCCATCACCTTATCGGGACTATATTATGGGTTAATAAAATAGCTTAAGGGAGTTTTCATAAAAATTGGGCTCCAGAACCTCAGTGAGAGACAGGGAGGAAATTGGGGTTGCAGGGGGCGGGGAGGAGGACAGAGAGCTGCCAGGAGCCGGGTGCTCACAGTGCAAACAGTAGAGGCCTGATTTTGAGCTTGACAAACACAAGGAGCATTCCTCTGGAGCCCAAACAGGAGGGAGGGGAAAGAAATGGACAAGGAAAGCGAGATAGGATCTGAGAGTCCAAAGCAATTTCCCTGGAAATTTCTTTCAATGTCCTGGGCCTTCATTGCTTTTACAATTACAAAATACATGTATTTGATATAAAAATCTGAATAGCATTTTTCTGTATATGTATATATATATGTATTTATACATATGCATTTGCTGTAATAAGCAAATTATTATATGCATTTTATATGCATCATTATTATATGCACTTTTGCATGCTCTTAAAGATTCTTACCAAGCATGGTACGTGTTCACTGCATAATTTTTCTATAATATAGAAGTATCACACTTTATTTAAGCAATCTACCAACTGTTGGGCACTTAAGATTTTTCACTTTTTTCCTATTAGAGATAACACTGTGACGAGTATCTTTGTATATGTCACTGTCCACATATGTAATTATCCACAGGATTTCCTCCCCAAAGGGTTCGGGAGGTAGGATCATTTTTAAGCCTCTGATAATGGACTGCCAAGTTGTTTTCCAGAATGGCGGAGTACTTCTCTCTTCTAGGCACACACTCATCAAGGAGATAAGGCACCTAGTTTTGGATGGTGGATCGGCGGCTCTAGTTTTGGATGGTGGATCCTGAGGGCACGTGCCTGAGGCTGAGGCTTTGGGTCTGCCCTGCCTGTGCCATTTCCTAGCGACACCTCCTTCATCTCTCACTCACGTCCCTCCCCCCCGAGAGCTGAATTCATCACCTCCTTCCTTCCCAAACAAATGGACGCTCCCAGGGACCTATGTTTGTGGGACTTTTTTTGCTGGCAGAAGCCCATTCCTCTCTTCCAGTGAAGGGTGAGGCCCCCTTCGAGGAAAAGGGGAGCACTTACCCTGAGTTGCAATGTAGTGCCGAGGTCGATGGTATCCCTGGATGACAGGAGAGAAGCAGAGTGAAGGGCCTCCAGTCAAAGCTCGCAAACACCATAATATTAATAGTTATCCTTTCCAAGACATGCTTTCGTCACAGGCAAAATGAGAACAGCATTAGACACTTCCCAGAGAAGTGGCAAAGATGAAATAAGTAACGTATGGCAAGCCCTTATTAAATCACTAAACGTTAGCTATTAGAGTAGTAACTTGGAAGGGGCCCATACGGGCTTGCCTCAGAAGCAAAACTGGGTGGCTGTTACTTACGCCCATGTACCCAGAAAGAGGTGGAGAAGGAATTGTGGCGTTTCTGTGGGACATAAACCACCAAAAAGTCCTTCCTGGGTCCTGACTGTGCAGAACACTGTGAGTCTCTGTAGGGCACCTGATGCAAGACAACCATTGCATCGCTGGCCCCTTGCATTAGTAACAATTAGAAAAAACTGGGGAAGAATGCCACAGGGCCTCTCTGTGCCACACGGCGGGGCTTGGAATTAGAAGTCCCACTCACCAGGGAGGACCCCGTGCAGCTGTGACTTCGAGGCTGATAAAGCCACTTTCTGATTCAGAGGCCAGTTTCTGATATCCCTGTATATTTCAGTGTCTCAGGAGGCCCTGCCGCATCTGGTGTGGGGTTACTCTGTGCTCCATAACCCTCATCATTGGGGAAGAGGTTGAAGAGAGCCTTCTCTTTTGCCTGGGTATGGCAATACTTGGAGGATCCCCTTTCTAGTTCCAGAGAGGAATTCTATCATACTGGGTAGAGTTCAAGTTTTGGACAAAGATTTGCATTTAGTACATACCACTGGACATGGTATTTATGGAATGAATACATGAGTGAGCAAACGAATGGATGGACAGATACTTTTTCAAACTACAGATGCCAGTTACAGAGCCTGCTGGAGGAGAGGTCACTGACAGCCCTGAAATCCACTTTGCTTTAGGGTTATCCATCTCAGGAGAAAACAAACCCAAACCGTTGATGAATCCCTAGTTTTGTCTCCAATGTTGGTGATCCATCTTTCTATCCTGTTGGCGGGGAGGGGATGAGCTGCCTCCAGGCCCTCTCACTCAGGAAATGAGCCAGAATTACCATCTGTATGGTTTATGGTCAAACAGACGTGGCCTCTCTCCAGTTCTGGATCCACTTTCTGATTCAAAGACTCGTTTTTGAGCCCCCAGTGTATTTCTCCACCTCAGTCTTCCCCTTGCTCCATAAATACCTAGTACGTACCTTCCCATTGCTGGGCATACTCTAGAGGTGCCAGAGTTCACTGTCAGCACCAAGCCAGGGCCGGCGGTGTGGTCAGAACTGCTGGATTAACCACAGTCCCTAGGAATCAACAGCCCCACCTAAATAAACTGTTTGCTAACTTCTTAGTGAAATTATCAGTTTCTTGAGGACAAATATTGCCTCCTCTAAGTTTTAAAAAAAACTTCTATAGACTCTCGCACAGTGTGAGACTCAGAACAAATGTCCAATGAACAAGTGGCGGGGAGCACAGCTAAATAAGGTACGGCTGGAGGAGGTCATGTGCACACACTCTGGACCCGATGGCCTGGGTTTGAATCCTGGCTCTGACCCTTAGGAGCTGTGTGTTCTGGAGCTAACACTTAACCTCCTCGTGCCTCCATTGCTTTTTTGCTGTCAAATGAGGGTACTTAGATTTACAATATAGTGTTTCTATTAAGATTATATGGCAGTTACTATGCGCCAGGCACTGTAGTCTAAGATTTAACATACATGACTTTATCTTATTAGTATTTTATTGGTCATCTGGCAAACATTTATTGGGTGCCTCCCGTGACCGTTTGGGAGATGGTGAGATCAGAAGCCCTTCCCGCCTCACCACTCTGCCCCTAATGCAAAACAGAGCCCCCCTCTGACACACGAGAAGTAGGAAGGGAGGTGAGAGGGACCAGGAGCTCTCTGTTCCTTCAAGTCAAGATGGACAGGGTTTCCCAGGCTTGCAGGAAGAATTAGACACTGGGAATTTTCTTGAGTAGGTTTGGGAACAGAAAATAGTCCCCTAGAGTGTGGAAGGATGTGGTTTCTCAAGCCCACCCTCTTCCATCAGCCGCATCGTCACTCCTAGTTACAGTCCTCGTCCTTCCTGACCCAGGCCACAGCACTGGCCGCTTGCTGGCCTCCCTGCCTCCAGTCCGGTCCCATCTCCCATCTGCTTCTGACCGGAGTGAACTCTGCAGTGCACATCGGATTACATTATTTCCCCACCCAACAGCCTGCAGTGGCTCCCCGCGGTGTGTGCAGTCATGTCCGGATGTTCTAGCTCAGGACTAATCACCCGTCTCTAGCCTCAGTGCCAGATGTCCCTCTCCATGCCCTCCCACGGGCCCTATGTCCCAGCTTTCCGGCACCACACCTCCAATGAGACCTCCCTCCTCCTGAGCAGTCCTGCAGGCTTCTGCATGTGCCCAACAACACATGTAGCACATGAGCTGCAATACGGTTTTCGTACTTGTCTCCCCATGGGCCGTGGAGCCCGCACTCAGAGCTGGGGGCAGCTTCCAGCAAAGGCCGGTGGGTGGCATATATGCATAAACGGGTCTCCGAGGTGAGGCTGGGGCACCCTTAATGGAGTTCCCGTTTCCTCCCCTCTGGCAGCATGCCCTGTTCCTACCACTCTTGACCTGGCTCACAGGCCATCTTGCTCTTCTTCAGACACAGGAGTCACGTTTCCATCCAGAGGCCTTCGCACAGGCCATTCCCTGTGCAGGGTGCATCTGCCCCCGCCGAGCTCGGCAGTTTGCTCTCTCACTCCAGCCTGGCTTCCGCTTGGTTGTCAGTCACCTCACAGAGAGCCTCCCCTGACCATCCTGTCGGCCCCTCTCTCATTTCTCCGGTTTACTTTTCTTCAGGGCACTTATCACTCAATGGCAGAATGTTCCTTGTTTATGGACATGCTCACTGTCTGTCTCCGCGGTGGAATGAGAGGGCCGACAGGGCAGGGCTGTATCCGGCTTGCTCGTGGCTATGTCCCCAGCACCGACAAGTCGGCCTGGGCCATCAGCCTTGATAAACGCGTATCGAATGCATGCATGCATGCATGCTGTGGGCCTGTCTGCGCACTGCATGGGAGTCAAGAGGCCCTCTCTGGTCTCCAAGACCCCATCGAGTCCCCAAAGAGAAAACGTTCTAACCACGAGATTCCTCAGCAAAGGAGATAAAAGGAAATGTATTGCTCGACTGGGGCTTTACTGGGGATTTGCCAAGGACTGGTTCAGAAAACTTCCTAACCTTAGAAGAACTTTGAGTTCATTTAAGTCCCACCTACACAGCACACAGATCGACTGCAAACCAGCACCGGGCCTGCCTCCATCCGTCTGTGAGCAATGGGAAAGAGGCTTGCATCCAAAACACATTTATCTCACTCTGAACTTACGCATCTGTTACTTACTGGGGACCCAGATACGATATTTATTTCCAGACTGGTAATTTATAACAGATTCAAGTGGCCAATACATTCTCGGGTGTGCAAACAAACCCGCCAGTGGGATGGTTCAGATGGTAGCAGAACCATGGCCTCTGGAGACACAGACAGGGCTGGCCCCATCCAGCTCATTATCCAAATGGAGTTGTTTTAATGGATCGTCAAGAACCAATTGTGGATAAATGATTCCAGCGTGGGCAGTTAGCTCTTCTGAGAGCAAATGTCCAGGAGGATTTCAGCGGGGGTGGAGAGCAGGGCAAAAGAGTGAGGACCTAGAAAACTATGTAGTGTGTGTCTTGCCAGGAATCCCCAAAAGGACTACAGGAATTTTAAGTTTGCTGGAGCACACAGTAGGCTCAGAAATCATGGGATTCCTCATTCCCCGTTCTGCCCCATATTGATAACAGGGTGCTAGGAGGTGCTTGGTGTCTTCTCCACCGCCCCCCACCCCCCCATGTTCCCGCTTTTCCCTTCTAGACTCTGCTCCGTGCTGTGGGATGGAGGCTGACCTGTATGGACTACATCATGGGGTTCCATGGCTTCTGGTTTCCAGTTGGGTTCAGCCAATGGGGGAGCAGAAGCAGGCCATGGGGAGGCTGGGGTGTATGTCTTCTAGATCTGCCCTCGTCAGGCCACCGAGGTTGGCACTGACTGTCAGAGGCTTCTGTTCCTAACTCGGGAATACTGCAGCCCACCCTGTTGGTTTCCCTTAACTTTGTTCCTACCTTGCTAACCCCCTCCCCTGCCCCTCCGTTACTCCCTTTGAGTGAGCCTGTTTCCTAATGGGAGACTGACAGGTATGTTGGTTATCATATTCTGCCGGGGCAGCCTTATTATCCCACTTTACAGATAGCAGAACAAGTAAATAAGATCATAAGGCTAGTAAGCAGAAAGGCCTAGACTCAACAGGCCCAACAACGGCTGAATTCATGACTCTGGTCTCGTGAACTTTTGACTCTAACCACTGAGATCCAGCAGAGACCAATGTCACATATGAAGACAGCATCTTGTAGAGGCTGTTTGGCCTATTTGCACAATCTACTTCTCCAAGAGGGAGAAGGTGGTGGGGTGTCCTTAGTGCACAGAGAACAGGATTCTAGCCATGTAACCTTGAGCAAGGATCTTAACCTCAACCCCTGGTTTCTTATCCTTAGAAGCTTACAGAATGCACCGTAACGACAGAACCTGGCAGGAATGGGAGGTGTTTTTGGTGTTGATGTCACGGAGATTCACCTGCATTTGAAGCAATTTCATTTGTTGCCTGTAATGTACCAAAGTGCCTCTTGGCTCTGACTATAGTCAGATGCTTATGCAACTTTGTTTATCTAGGGAAGCGTCTCTCTAGGAAAGTTAACTTTTGTCGGAGGGTTACCACTCAGATGACAAAAGCTATATATGGCACCTTGGGCTGGCAGACCCCATGTGGGCCTTTGGGGTTGCCACAAGTACTCGGCTGTAGACAAGGCCAAGGGGAAACTGGAAAGAACTAGTTCAGTCTGGTTAACTGCATGCTGAGTCCCCACTATGTGCTGGATGCAAGGTGCTGTCTGGGAGTAGATGGGGAGGGACAGGAGGAAAGGCCCCAGACTGGGAGCTATTCCGGTCTGGTTCCTAGTTTGGTTTTGCTGCTGACCCGATGCATGGCTGTACTAAAGCTCTGTAATCTCTTTAAACTTTTTTTTTGTTTTTTTTTTGGAGAGGTTGAGAGAGAGAGAGAGAGAGAGAGGTGGGGGGAGGGAAAGAAGGAGAGGGAGAGAGACAGAGAGGTGGAGGGAAAGGACAGAGGGAGAGGGAGAGAGAATCCCAAGCAGGCTCCACGCTCAGCACAGAGCCTGACATGGGGCTCCATCTCACAACCCCGATTAGGATCATGACCCGAGCTGAAATCAAGAGATGGATGCTTAACTGATGGAGCCAGCCAGGCGCCCCAAGCTTTGCAATCTCTTTCAACCTCAGCTTCTCTTTCTGAAAAATGGGGATGATTCCCTAACTTGGGGGGTTATTGAGGGGTCTCCATAAACTGACTCCTTTACAAACACCCACCACAGGGCCCAGACATGACTCATTTAGATCCACCGGCTGTTGTCATTGCTTTACTGTTATTATTTAAGCCAGCAGAACACGGTGGGGAAGCCACCCCTGATTCAGACTTCTGCTCCCTCCTCCTCTACATCCTAGCAGTGTGATCCTGGACAAGTTACATAACTAATCAAGAGCCTCAGCTAACTCATCTGGAAATGGGTAGTAACAGCACTTACTTTGTGAGGTTGCGGTACCTAGTTAAGTAATGTTGATACACAAGAGGTGATCTTAGGTTACTATCAGTCCTTCTGGTCTGTTGGACTCTTACTCATTGGCTGAGGCAGCACTGTTTCACCTCTTCCAGGAAGGCTCCCCTGATTACCCAACCCCACCCCAACCAAAGCTTTGGTTTTCCTTTATGTTCACACAGGCCCTGCTCTGTGAGGGTCTCTTTTCTTACCCAACTCCTTCACCAGACGTGAGTCCCTTTTCAGGTCTGCATTTCCAGCACACACTGGAGGACCCACTCAGTGTTTGAGAAATGAATACCAGATGCACAAGGGAGAGGCTAGAGCTGTGATGGGCGGATACTCAAGAGTGCTTTGTCCAGGCTCGAGACAGGCTGCTCTGAACTGGCCATCTCCTTGTGAACTTTCCTGGGAGGGCCACAGGGACAGAGACTGTGTCTACCTTGACTTCCACTGAAACTCCAGCCCCAGGTCCTGACCACGGGAAGGCCCTTTATAAGCCAGGGTCCCGGGGGGGACTCGAAACCACTCTGGGTGTTTCAGACGCAGGGAATTCAGCATGGGGTGATGACATCGGTGACAGGGGAGCTGAGATGCTAACCAGGGGACAGTGGGGTGACGCAGAGATTGGCACCAGGAGGAGACTGTGACTGCCCCTGGAACTAGCGGACGACCGGAGACAGAGAAGCTGCCAGACCCCGGAGCTGGGGCTGCCGGGCAGAGGCGGGAATTCTGGTGGGTCTGCCTGGTAGAAGCTGGTGCCACAGCTGGGATGCGGCCCCTGCCAGAGCTGCTACCCGAGGAAGTGAGGGAGGAGCCGGACACCAGCTCTCCTTTCGCCCTCCAATCTCCCATCACAGCCCTCCCTGCCGGGATCGGCTTGCCCTCCTTCCTGCCACAACACACACACACTCACGCACACACACTCACAGGTACACTCTATCACACACATACTCAGATAAGCAATGCAAAGCAGAATGGGGAAGGCGGAGAAATAGATCTGAGAGCAAACAGACAAATGACTACCACAAAGCTCAGTAAGTTTTTGTAGAATCAATGAATCATCTGGATCAGCCTAGATTAGGGGGAGTTCAAGCGCACACCATTCCACTTCATAGCCTGTCTACAGAAACACTTGGGTGTCAGAGGGACCAAGGTGATCTCTGCCATTCGTCGAGGCCCCCAGGCTCCTAGCTGAGGTCCTGAGAAGCCTGGCTTGCATGGGTTATGAAAGGACGTCCATTTGTCCCTGGTGGCCATGCTCCCCCTTTGCAGACTCTCTCATTTCCATGGTGAAGCAGCCCCTTTCCTAACTGGGCATCTGAATCCCATATTCTCCTCCCTCGGATCAATCTTACCCTTGGCGATAGATAAATGATCCCGAAGCACCCTTGGCGATAGATAAATGATCCCGAAGCTCAGCTCTGCACTGATCACCTCCATGATCAAAAATTTCCAATAGCGTTCTCTTGCCTCCAGAATCAAGTTCGGCTTTCTAAGTTTGTTCGTAAACCACCGATGATCTAGCTCCAATCTTATTTTCCACTATTCCCATGACATGGTCTCTGCTCTCCTCAACCTGAGCTGCTGCTACATACTCTCGGCTTCCAGGTGCTACATTTTGGTTTGTGCTGTTCTAACTAGAGGCCCATCTTCCCCCTCATTAATTTTAAATTCATCCTGTGCTTGGAGCTTTGGTTCATATCACATTCTGCATTCCTGATGGAAGAAGCGATTTTTTCCTCCCCCACCTCTGAATCCCTGCAGCATTTTATCTGAACATATGACACTTACCACTTTCCAGTTTGCCCTGGAATTATTGATGTGCATAGCTTATCTTCCTGCTCAGGTTTTAAAGGGTAGAGACCATGGCGCTTTTAGTTTTATGGTTCCAATAGCATCTGGCACACAGCACGCACTTTTAAATTTGTGTTGCATAAATGGCTATACCTTCAAATGAATGAATGGATGGACAAACAGACACACGTACAAATGAATTAATGCGTGAATGAACAAGACGGGCAGCTGTCCTGGGGCCCCACAGAGCAGGCTACTCCAGCCAGCCCCAAAGAGGATGCAGCTTTCGATGGATAATCAACGTGGGTTATGCTAATTACACAAATCAGGGAGGGCCCAGACCCCTCTGGACACGTTCTGGGAGGGCCACCTTGTGGGGGAGGGAGGCTGGAGGACAGCCACAGGTCTCGAGCCTGCTACAACCAACCCCAGAGCCTGGCTGCCCAGCCCTGTGAAGACTCACATCAATGTAGTTGGCGTTGATGTAGTCGGAATGCGGGTCTCCGTCCAGCACCAGCAGCCTCACCCGGGAATGGTCGTCTGCAGAGAGAGAGCAGAAAACAAGGGGGGGCGGGTGGGAGTAGAAAGGAGCCTGCGGTGAGGGGCCAGCACTGCCCTCCTGCAGACCTACCATGCATTAGTAGTATGGGCATCGTGCTGCTTCTCACACACTCTCTCATTTGACCCCCGGCGCCACCCCATTATCATCCCCATTTACAGATGAGGCAGCTGAGGCTCGGGGAGATCATTGTGCCTTAAAAAGCACTGTGTGAGGGCGCCTGGGTGGCTCAGTTGGTTGAGCGACTGCCTTCGGCTCAGGTCATGATCCTGGAGTCCCGGGATCGAGTCCCGCATCGGGCTCCCTG